TGAACGATGCATAGGAGAATTACACCACCACTGAGAATGAGCTCCTCTCCGTGGTGTATGCATTTGATAAGTTCCGACCCTATATGGTGCTCTCCCATGTGGTGTTCAATACAGACCACTCGGCGATTCGCTACCTAATGAGCAAGGCTGATGCAAAGCCTAGGCTCATCCGCTGGATCCTGCTTCTGCGGGAATTCGATATAGAGATCCGGGACAAGAAGGGAGCCGAGAATGTTGCTGCATATCACCTTTCACTGTTGGAAGCCCCTCAGGTGGACAACTTCGTGGAGGAGATCGATGACTCTTTCCCGGGTGAGCGATTGCTAGCGATGACATTGGTGGACAGCGTGGTCCCTTGGTATTCTGACTTTGCCAATTATCTAGTGGGAAAGCAGCTACCAAAGGGGTTGGCCACTCATGCAAAGTGTAAGTTCTTCTCCAACCTGAAGCATTACTTCTGGGAGGATCCTTACCTCTTCAGGATTGGAGCAGATGGCGTGATCCGGCGCTGTGTCATGGAGCACGAGATGGGAGACATCCTGTCTCAATGCCAAGAGGAACCTACTGGAGGTCACCATGGAGGAAACCGCACGACACGGAAGGTGCTGCAGTCGGGCTTCTATTGGCCTTCGCTCTTCAAGGATGCAGACACCTTCGCACGATAGTGCGACCGCTGCCAAAGGTCAGGTAACATTTCTTCCCGGGATAAGATGCCCCAACATATTTCTGTCATTTGTGAAATTTTTTATGTTTGGGGTATCGATTTCATGGGCCCATTCCCTCCATCTTTTGGCAATCTGTACATATGGTTTTAAGCATCAGGTGTCGGTGGCTTACCATCCCCAGTCAAATGGGCAAGGCGAGCTGACGAACCGGGAGCTTAAACGAATAATTGAAAAGATGGTGGATCAGTCCCGCAAGGATTGGTCCACCAATCTCGATGATGCTCTTTGGGCATATAGGACGGCCTATAAAAACCCGATTGGCACTTCTCCCTATAGGCTTGTCTATGGGAAGGCGTGTCATTTGCCAGTAGAGCTAGAGCACAAGGCCTTCTGGGCCATTAAGATGCTAAACCTGGATTTGAGTGTTGCAGGTACTGAACGTAAGTTGGAGCTGCTGAAGTTGGAGGAATGGCATTACCACGCCTAAGAGAACACCCTGCTCTACAAAGAGCGAACCAAGCGTCTCCACGACGCTCAGTTAAGGGGCCCGAAGGAGTTTCAGGTAGGTGATCGTGTTCTGCTCTTCAATGCACGCCTGAAACTCTTCCTGGGCAAGCTACGTTCGAGGTGGTCGGGACCCTTCACGGTCACCCAAGTTTTCCCGCACGGTGCGGTGGAGATCAGCAATGCTCAAACTGAGCCATTCAAGGTGAATGGCCACCTCCTAAAGTTGTACTTCGGAGGTGCGGTCGAGCGCACAGAGCTACTGATCAAGCTCGAGGACCCTTAGTTCCTCTACTGGCGTCCAGCTAAAAGATGGTAAAGAAGCGCTTGTGGAATTGGCTTCTGGCCATGTAGAGGCCCTGGAATTTTCACACGGACAGGAGGGGTCCCTCACACGGTCGTGTGGTTTTGGCCGTGTGAAGGCTCGATGATTTCCACACACGAGCGCCATTGCACCTCACACGGCCGTGTGACCGTGCCCTTGTGGCCGACCCGGCGCCTATAAATTCGGACGACACAGTCGCGTCGCCAGAAAACCCAACTCCCCTCGCCGGAATCCTCTCCCCCTCAACGGAAAACCACGACTTTTCACCTCTTTGGGGATTTTCCGGCCATTTTTGGTCGATTTTTCACCAAACCAACACCGCACCCAACCTTTCCTCCCCATTTTTCGGCCTATCCCTCGATTTTGAGGTGATCTGGACCGATTTTGAGTCGCCGGAGGGGATTTCCGGCGAGGCTCCGACAAGCATTTCCGGGCAGATTTTGGGATTTTCGTCGTTTCCATTGCCTTCTCATCATCATCCCCTACACCTCTACTTGTGTCTCCAGGTTTGATTTTGCCCTTTACCTTGTGAATTGTGGAGAATTGGGTGTTAGGGTGTATGTTTCGAGAACTACTTTGCAATGTGTGAATCGTGTGCAATTGATAGAGTGGAAGGCTTGGTTTATGTGTGAATCGTGTTGGGCAATGTCCCCCATGCTTGGTTGAGCCCTTGTGTGCTAGAAATTTGCCAATTCCATGCTTAACTTAATAGTGCACACAAGGTGTTCGTTGAAATGCCAGCTTTTCATACCATTTTATGGGAACCGGTGGGGGCCCTTAATGATGTGCTTTGAGGGTGTATTTGCTATGGATGTGAACCTTAAGTTGCCTAATTCATCATGGATTTGCACCGCCACCCAGATTATGCTTGTTTGATCGGGTTTTTGACCCCCGAACTATGGATGAAACCATGGTTCGGCTGTTTTTTGTTCTCAAGTGTCGGGGTGTGATTAACCTTTTCTTTGGCTCTTTTGGCTCCACTTTGGGTTGTTCTTTTGCAGGACCATGACGAAACCCGACCTCAAGCACCCGTTCATACGGAATTTGAAGAGGGGCCCCCACCAGGATCACTTTAAGCGCGTCCTAGCCTGCTCGTTTGGGAAGCATCATTACTAGTACAGGAGGGAGTTCGAGAAGCTGAATTGCTACGACCACTTCCTCGCCATTGCCACCAACCGCCTGCTGTCCATTCGAGAGAAGGTCTACCACGAGCTAGTGCTTGAGTTCTATACGACCTTCAAGCACGAAGATACAGAGGACTGGAAGGACGGTGAAGCTGTCAAGTTCAGGCTCGGCGGTGTGCCCCGCTTCATGAGCTACCACGACTTGGAAATCGCTCTCGACCTCGGCCTGGACGATGATGTGGACTACGTCACCGAGCTCAACGATCCAGCGAGTGTTAACTTCAAGACGCTGTACACCCGCCTAGCTCAGCCTGGCCAGCGTCCCTTCGTTGCAGGGCGGACGAAGGCCAGCACCCTGCAGCTCGATAACCGCATTCTCCACCACATGCTAGCGAAGTCGTACACTCCAACTGCGGAAAGTGCCAGCACCCTCACCAAGAGATCCATGTACTTCATCCAGTCCATCCTCCAGGCGGACCATCCTCTCCACCTGGGTTCTGTGGTGGCCAGAACCTTTGACAAGAGGGCTTCAGAACTCCGGGGCCTACACTGCACTCCCCTCATCACCCGTATGCCACCTACTTCCAGATCCCACTGAAGGGTTGCACAGAGTAGGGGGCACTAGTGTCTTTGGCGAAGACACGATCAAGAGTATGCACCTGCTGCGATGCTCCTGAGGATGAGGCTGCTGAGGATGTCCACCCTGAGGATGTGGATGATGTTGATGCCCCGCCCGACCACCTTCGAGTACGGGGGTAGCAGTTCCACTCACTAGTTCCAGCAGTTGAGCCTCCAGAATCAGCAACTCCTCGACCATCATCTCTAGTTCCAGCAGCAGTACTCGGCTCACCAGGCCGAGTATCAAACCCGGATGACTGCCTATGATGAGCGCCTTGACCGTATGGAGACCCAGCAGGGGGTGACCCTTGCTCACATCGAGCGGGAGAAGGCCCGATCTCGGCGTATGCAGGAGGTCCAGCAGCACCTGCTCCACCTGATACCGGGCGAGCAGCCAGTCTAGAGGACTCCCTGGGAGGACTCTCCCCTTCCACCCCCGGCCGCCGAAGATGATGCCTTCATGAACGACATCGACTTTGATAACCTTGGCCATGAGTAGTCTGTACTCGTCGCCCCTCAGTGTGTGTTTTTGTTTTAGACTTTTCATGTTTGCTCCATGTGTGTGCGGAGCTTGAACTGAGTCTGTCGTTTGTTTTTGTCCTTTTTGCTTTCTTTTGTGGATTGTCTATTGTGTGGCCATCTAGGCTAACTCTGATCCCTAACGCACAGTGTGCTAGTGTGTCCTTGATGTTCCCTTCGTGCAGAACTGTTCCGTTCATTCCATATGTTCCCCGCTGACTGGTCCACTTCCAGTCTCCCGGCCATTTTTCAATCCAATAACATCGTTCCTTTTATCTCTCCCTCTGCTCCATTGAGGGCAATGTCGTGCTTAAGTGAGTGAGTGGGGGGGTGCTTTGTATCGGTTGGAATCTATATATGTGTGCTTGGAGCCTAGTCCGCTTTCCAAATCTCAAGATTTGAGGGCTCCAAGTATCGTTGTTTGCATGATCATATTGGCACTGTGATTTGATTGGTGAATCAAATGGTTTTCGGATTATTGCATGACAGCTTGATTGTAACTAGGACAACCTATGATGATGACTGAGACGTGCAATAGAATTGTGTAGGGGTTCGGTTTTTCAACTGTTTGCTTACCAACTATGACTTGGATTGATCACTTGTTCTTGACAGTCGTTTATGCATCTAGTTCAAGGAATCAGAATGAGAGATAGAGCATATAGGTAGCCATGTGAGATTTGAGCATGCTCGTTTCTTTCTTGTGCGATAGATCCCTCTTCCATGATGTGTAGCATTCACGTTGTCATTAGCTAAGATGATGGAGGCATAGGATTAGCCCACGACGAAATTGACTGTCCTGGTGTGTCATACCCTCTAGTCAGCCCCTTTGAGTCGTGTACTTTCCTTTCTTTCGGTCTACAATGAAAAATCACCCTTTTGCATCTCTTAGAAGGTTCCACAGAGTGGTTTTTACATGTTCTCTGCTGTTTCTGCTAAATATAATGTGAGGGTTGTAGGTAGTTCTTAAAAAGTTGGGCATGTGTTTGAAAAATGTGCATAGGTGGTGGTTCTCTCAAGAAATGAAAAAAGAAAAGAAAAGAAAAAAATGAATGAAAGCAAAAGAGAGCCACCACCACAAAAATATAGTGTGTCTACCGTTCTTAATATTCCAGGCACAACCTTTTTTCAATAAAGGAGCCGCTTTAGAAAAGTTGGACCCAGTGAAGGAACTTCCCTGAATAGGCCGGAAGAGGTTTAGTTCGTGTCTTTGCCTCCCGTACTTTGCTTGCATTATTTGGGCCCACAGGTTATCTTTTTCGTTCATTAGACGCCACCCGCTTTTAGCTAACATGGCTAGGTTGGCTTGTCTTGTAGGTCTGATTCCCACTCCACCCTGACTCTTCGGAGTAGTCATCTTCTCCCAAGCCACCAAATGCATTTTGCTCTTGTCAGCCTCGTCCCCCCCATATGAAGTCCCTATTGATCTTGTCGATGCTCTTGTAGACGTTACTAGGGATCAATTCCGTCTGCATGTTGTACACCGGGAGGGACGCAACAAGCGATTTAGTCAGAGTGAGGCGAGCCGCGAAGGACAGGCGTTTAGCCTTCAACGGAGCCATCTTCTTTTGGATGCGAAGAATGAGAGACTGATATCTCTCTCTGGTCACTCGCTCTTGTGATGAAATGGACTTGGTTTTGATGAGCTCATCAGTCCCTCCCTATCGAGAAGGATTTGACCTCAAATCCGAGTTGTCCTCCAAATATGGTGCAAGATCATAAAGGTTGAAGGTTGAAGTCGATGGCACTCCTGGCCTTGGTGCATTTTGAGGTGCCATGAATCTCCTCCCAACATTGCTACATTGTTGTTTGTCCACTTTGGTCACCATTGCAACCAAGTCATATAAATCCGCATAGGGATGAATTTCCACCACATTTCTAATTTCTCGATTAAGATCATGTAGGAATCGTGCAATGGTGGTGTCATGTTCCTCCTTTGGATCCGCTCTAATCATAAGCTTCTCCATCGCTTGATAATAATCCTCTACGCTCTTGGTGCCTTGTCGTAGAAGTTGTACATCTTGATGCATCTCCCTACGATGATAGCTATGGACAAAACAATCTCGCATAACGCTTCTCATCTCGGCCCACGTCTCAATAGGAGGCTTCTTGTTCTTCCTCCTCCTCATGCTTAATTGATCCAACCATATGATAGCATAATCTGTAAACTCGAGGGCTGCCACTTGCACCTTCTTCCTTTCGGAATAGTTCACTACAAGAAAAACAGTATTTTGTAACAAAAAATTTCGTCACCAAATACGCCAGTTCGCGTCACAAAAGGCTTTTGTGACAATAAAACATTTGTCACAAGGGTCGTCACGTATACGCCGTTGCAAAAGGCTACAATGACGAAACATTTTAGCTTCGTCACCCAAGACAGAGCTTTAAGTGACAAAAAATTTCGTCACATAAACTTCTACTTTTTGTCACGATATTCATTTGTCATAAAAATGGACTTTTGGTGACGGTTTTAGGATTCCTTCCAAAAGATTTTCTTCTAGTGATGATGTAAACTGTCACAGATTGTATACCATTTGGTGACGAATGTAACTTTCTCATTACCTAAAGTAGAGTTATGGCCCCATTAGCTGTCAGATGGGTGCCATTGGTGACGATCAAAACCCTTAGGTAACAAAGAAATCCGTCACAAAATTTTTTTATTGTTCTTCAGTCTTGCTAATTGGTGATGAATGTTAGATTTTTTGTGACGAACTAAATTTCAGATAACATAATTGTCTTGTTAAAATCCACCTGTCATTCATATAACTCAACTAAAAATGTAAGTTTACATAATTTCATGTGCCTACACATCCAAGAGCATGAAGCATTTCAACCGAAGAGAACACATGCTCCATCTCTCTAACATATAATTAATAGAGAGTTGGCTTTAGGAATTGACCCATACAAAATATGGTCACAAAAATAGACAACGTGTTTCAAAGAGATTCACATCTTCAACATAGCACGCTGACACAAAGCATGGCCATTGACACTTCCCTAAAGCACTCTCATTGCTCAAAATCAGTAGGCTAATTACCTCACCTTGGATCTGCAATATAAAACTAGCACATTGTAAGCACATATACAAAGATATCATGTCGTAAACACAAAGTGCAGCTAAGGCTACAAATCTCATAAGATAGAAAAACCTAACATGGCTTATTTTTTTTATAAATGTGAATCAACTTCTTTAATCTCAAAAAATAAAGAGAATACCATCGAAACTTATACTAATGACAATCCACATGCCAACTATTATCTACCAACAACCTCATGTTCTCTATGAGCTTACATCTTTTTATTAGCCCTTAGTTGTTACTTTCCACAGTTATACCTCTTTTCTATCTATTTATTATGTGCGAAAGAGAGGTAAGTAATAGATAAGGAGTTGCTGATGTGTTCTCCAAAGTAGAGTACATGCTGCAAATTCATGCATACCAATCATTGCTTCATTAATCTAATGAATTGTAGCAGGTGGAAATAAAGTTCATTTTCCCTTTATTCTTGAAAAATGACAAATGTACTAACTCAATCTTAGACAAATTATCCCTATCTCTAGACATATTCTAAGCTCAGTCATAATATATAGACTATTGAAATGGATAATTTCGTGTATCTTACCATTGTCCAAGCTGACCGTTTCTTGTTTCAGCAATTGGCAGGCTATGTTGTCAAAGAATGCACCCTTCTTCTCTAGTTCTTTCACCCTATCCATTGACGAAGCCATTTGTTCATTGTGATTGTCCTCGAGTTCCTTCATCTTATTGTTGGTAGAAGTCAATTGTTCCTTGTAATCGTCGCGCTCGTGCAACAACAAGCTGTTTTGCTCTTCTAGTCTCCTGTATCGCTCATTTAATTCCTTGTATGTGGCCTTTTTAGCTGGAGGAGATGGACCATGTCCGAGGCTTGCCAATCACTTGATTTGGTTCCTAGGACATCATTAAATGCATCATTTCCATTAATAGGATGATTGGTGTCTTTGCTTTCATCCACCTTTGCTCGCATCTTCTCCTGAAAATATGATTGTTGTTATAAATTATTATTAATATTCTTAATCCCCTTATATCATAACCATGTCCCTTCTTATTAGCTTTTAAAGTAAGCACTTGACCAAATTACCGAAGATAAAGTTCAAATGTTTAGTTTCCATTTATCATGAGGTATAGACTTTACATATATACTCTCCATATACTAAAAGCTCCAAACTTATAATAATATATAAGGAAAACTCACCTCCAGATGGCCATAAGTCATCCATTATTATAAGGACTAAAATATAATTAAAAAACTAACTTACATGTGCTTTTTTCACATTGTTATTGATCCATTTTCCATCCTTACTTCTTGTCCGCTCATAGAAATCCATCTTAGTGAAGTCATCATTGCCTTTAAGCTTTTCACGTGCTTTCTACATGTGTCAAACAACATTATCTATTCATAGATAATATAATTCATTATAAACAATCATTACATGTTAAAACCTTAGGAAACTACCATTTCATGAAGCGAGGGCACAAATGCATTGGGTCCTTGGTTGTGTGGATGCTTTAACTTGCTTCGGTTCAATGCATTTTGCTTACACTTAGCCTACAATAAACAACTTAGTAAATCTAAGTTTGTCAAAACCAAAAAACCATTTACTAGAAAATATAAAAAAAGTATACCTGGACAAATATGTCATCCCAATAAATAGCAGGGAGAGAGAAAGGAGAGCTGGTTTTTGGAGAAGAATTGGTTTCTTTCTCTAGGATTTCAACCTAAAACACCAAAGGGGAGTTCTAGTGAGAGAGAGAGAGAGAGAGAGTGCTAGAGTGATCTTGGGGCATCATTGGAGGCATGGGTGGCGGTTCAAGCCTAGAAGAAGAAGAAGAAGAAGAAGATCTTGAGCTCAAATTAGTAATCCCTCTCTCTTTCTCTCTTGAAACTCACTCTTTTCTCTTGGGTGTTTTAGATCCCTAACTAATACTTTGTAATTACTTGTTTAGATTGAATGATTGTCATTGGGTATTGTTTAATTCAATGATTGAGGTATTATTCATGTCGATTGTGCATGTTTGTGCATGTTTTGTGCTTAGCATCATTAGGTTTGTGCATTTTGGTGTTTAGCAATCTAACTAGCCACTTTAACCTAGGTTAATTTAGGGCAACCGTCAATGTTGAATTAAGCAAATGGTTTTATCGTATTAACCCGTCCGACCTTTGAGTTGAGTGAGGGAGTAAGTCAACTACGATTGCCTAAACAGTGAGGGTCGATTGACACGGCCTTTAATGTTTACCTCGATTTAGCAATCGAGATTGTGGTCTACGACGATATTTGCATCCCTCTGCGGTTCGCCTTTACGAGTTTGCATCTAGGTTGGTTGTGATTAAGCCTCCGGTTTCAGTGACTGAGTGAGAGGATCGATCCCGTGACAATTCGACCTCCAGTGAATCCGTCCCGTGACAAATGGATCAGTACTTGCTCCTCCTGGTGGTTCCCTTAGATTTGGTGAGTGGATCGATCCCTTGGCAAATTGATCGCTAGTGATTTGATTCCGTGACAAATCGATCACTAGTTGCTCACCCCTGCGGTTCACAACCACCTACGCCACAAGACTTCATTCAATCCAACGAGTCATGGTAGCTAGTTAGGGGGGAGCAACTCCCGGGTGAAGCTCCCTTAGTTTCCTTTATTTACTTTTCCTTGATAGTTTAGTTTGTAGTTCCATTAGTTATAAACCCAAAAGTTGCTTGATAGATAACAACCTAAGCGATTGAAGTAGGGGTACATGGATCGGCCCGGGTTGACAATTTAAATACTTGCTCTATACCGCACCCGGCTAGAGTTTATATACTTGGGCTCTAGTCGTGATTAATTTGTGGTGTAGTTTCGTGCGAGTCAACATGCCTTTGAAATGACGCATAGAGAAACATTATTACTCATCCATTTGTTATTGGCGAGAAGGACTTATGTACGTATAATCTAGAAATCTTACCGGCTCGCATGTGTTTTCGCATTCAAGGTACAGAGCCTGCCACAAGCTATGCAAAAACGCAATATGCACAGTTGATGAAGCGTTGGTAATGAAAAATACAGATATAGATGGATGATTACATAAGAACCACACACAATTTAATAAATCCACCATTCTTTCCACATCTCTCTGACGTAATGGCTTCCGGTCCTCAGATTGACTTGTATCAAGTATGTGAACTTCTTGCACCTTGATAAAAACGACATCCATGTACCAGTGCACCTTCCCATCATGTTGCCTATCCTTCATCGGAAGACACACCTACACATGACCAAACATTTAATCCTTATTAGACCTATACATATTGGTACATGCACTAGGCAATCAGAGGAGACCACGTGGTGAGAAGAAACAACCTTTTCGTAATTCTCTGCCTGTGTCAGGAAAGTGTGGTCGTACAACTCCAATGCCTTCTTAGGTTTCAAGCCACATCAAGTAGCGAGCTCCTGCTCATGCGTCACATAGTTAACATAGATGGAGTTAGATGAAAGTTGAAGTAAATTCACACTAAACAGGAAGTATGTCGTAATCTTAATAAGGAAGTCCTTAAACCTAATGAAGTAGACCAGAAAATCCAGAAAGGAAACTACCTAAATACTGAAATAGCCTAATATGTATAGGAATAACACCAGAACGTATAAAATGCATACTACAAACCTAATCAACTAGATCGGAAGTGAGGCAGCCATAAGTAACCATTACAACATTACTCCTAGTGTACCTGGAGGGAGTATGAACAACTCATTTTTGCGTAAATGGTACAAACGATTTATAAAATGTTGTTGCTCACATAATAACTTACCTCACCATCCACAAACGAGTGGGGACATAAGGTCCACAAAACCTTCATGGTTAACGTGTTATGGATAGTTTGTGCCAAAATCTCCTCTCGTGGTAGAATGGATAGAAAAATGTAATGCTCTACATTGACTTGCTCGTCATTGTGGTCAAGATGCGAATCGATCTTGAATTCCAGAACAGCTTGCGAAAACAAGGGTAACCTGTTGACTATCTCTACAAATCAATACGTTGTGGTCGAGACATACACAAATAATGATTACTATGCTCTCTACATCCTTGTTTAATCCATTATGGGCTTTGCCTTTTCCACTAGACTTCTCTATCAACTTTGGTTTGTCGTTCGTCGGGAATAATGATGACATCAGCACCAAGCGTGGATGGGGTGAGTACAACCTCCTCAAGTCTGGCTCTCTTCGCCGGAGATACATATTTCGCCGGCGAATGCAAACAGAGAATACAGTCGTATAAGAATTAAGTGACACACAAACTGAAATAGAATGGATCAGATGCAACTTTGACTTATCTGATGCTTTGACGACGAAGGATTCGATCGTAATCTAGATTTGGCAGCCTTACCCATATTGGTAGGTTTCCAAAACGTGGAGGATTTTTGTGCTTCGGTAAGTGAAACGTAGGCCTTTTCTCTAAGATTGATCTATTGCACGCAAAATGTCGCAAAAGAAGGATATCGTATGCTAGTTCCCTCTCGCCTAAAATGAAGTATTTATACTAGGGTTCTAGGAAGGGTGGCGAAATCTTTTCCCACGTGTTTCTCGGTTTTTAGTGAAAAATAACTAGATTTTAGTCATCGGTCTCGTAACTCTTAATCGTAATATGTATTACTGATAAAATCTATGGTTCGCGAGTTATTTGATTGATTTGACGTTAGGATCACGAAAATTTTGGTACGTGGGATAGAGTGTGTGCTCGCAGGTAGGTGTAGTGAATTGGGTTGTGTTGAGAATTAATATTTAATAGTTTTCATATGTAATTTGTTTGGGGAATGGGTTAAAATTATGGAATCGATGATTGTTGCCTTCTAAACTTAAAACCTATAAGAGTTTCACCTAAACTTTAGAAGCCCAAGAAAGAGCCAATGTACTTATCAAACGAGGATAGACCCATTTCGGGCCCAAGTGATTGGTGCATTACTAGTGTCTGAATATTTTAATGCAATCTATTAGTATTATAACCATACTAGAAATATCCGAATTCAGGCCACAATGTTTGCGAAGCATGCTAGACAATTAAAAAAGTCATTGTGACCACGAGATTACTTACAAATACAAACTGATTAAATATGTAATTTTGATGACTTTTAAATTTTATTGAGTTGGTCTGTATACTTTGGGCCTTGGGGTGAGTAGGAATTGGCCTTTTCTCATGGTTACTTTAACTAGCATTTTCTTTTTCATCGAAATCATGATGCATAATTGTTGTTTTTCTTTCACCGTACCAACTACCAAGTGAGAAAGGAATAACTATATAAAATAATTAACACTTTACTAAGGATGATGTGGTAAACTACTCAATTATGGGATCAAGTACATAACTTAATGCAATAAAATACTCAAATAGTTCATAAACAAAACCAGCCAATATAAATCAAAATCCAAACATGAAAAAACGGTAGTTCTTACCAAAAACAAAAAAACACGATTATAATAAGTTAAACGATAAAACAAGCCAATTAAATAATCATATTCAAAACTTCAATCCTCCAAGTCTAAGTTCCCTCTTTTTTCATGTCTCGTTTGGTGATCTTCCTTGTACTCGAGTGTGAGAGCTCCAAGTTTAGGTGGTAGTTGTTTGGCTTCCTTCAGCACCTTATGCCTCAACATGTGCAGAGGATGTTGTACAAGAAATAGAGTCAGTTACATTCGCTTCACCGGGCTACATCGTTGTACGAACATCAAACAATTCATATTAAGTCCGAGTAAACGATACAATTATGATTTAATTTTATAAAATTTTGGCGTTGCTTGCATCGAATAAGAACATTAGCGTACGACTCACCCATAAGAAATAGTTATCCAGTCTTGTATCCATCATCCACAGGGAGACCCACACCCCACTATCAGACCTACAAAATATGAAATTCATTGCATTAGAAACTATTTCATAAGCACACCTTTGAAACAACGCATAAAAAAGCATTCTTACTCATCCATTTGTTCTTGACGAGATTACTTATGTACGTATAATCTAGAAATCTCGGCGGCTCGCATGTGTTTTCGCGTTCAAGGTACAGAACCTGCCACAAGCTTTTCAAAAAGACCATATGCACAATTGAAGAAACGTTGGTAATGAAAAACATGGACACAAATTGATGATTACATAAGAACCACACACAATTTAATAACTCCACCATTCTTTCAACAGCTCTCTGACATACTGCCTTCCGCTCCTAAGATTGACTTGGATCAAGGATATGGACATCTTGCTCCGTGATTAAAATGATAGCTAGATACCAGTGTAGCTTACCATCAGGCAGCCTTTCCCTCGTCGGAAGAAGTATCTACACATGACCAAACATTCAATGCTTAATTCAACAAATACATATTGGTACACTAGGCCTTCAGCGGAGACCAAGGGATAAAAATAAACCAGCTTATCGCTCATGTCTGCTCGCGATAGAAAGGTGGTGTCATACAGCTGTAACGCCTTCTTCAGTTACAAGCCATAATAGGAAGCATGCTCCAAGTTATACGTCAAACAATTAACATTCCTCAAATTCAGATGAAAGTTGTATTAAATTCATAGCAAATAGGTTGTAAGCCATAAGGCATAGATATAGCACCAGAACATACACAAAGCATACCGAAAACCTAACTAACTAGACCAAACGTGGACAATCATAAGTAACCATTACAACATTACTCCTAGTGTACCTTAAGGTCAGCTGGCAAGTAGCATATTCCTTTTCTTCTATCGCCATCCAACCACACTTGTTCCACGGTTGAGAGAGCGGACATAACCGTAATAATCTATGACACAACAAAGTATGAACAATTAATTTTCTACGTAAATGGTTCAAACGAGTTAGCAAATGTTGAGAAACCATAATAACTTACATCACCATCCACAAACGAGTGGGGACATAAGGTCCACAAAACCTTCTTGGTTAACATGTTGTGGAAGGTTTGTTCCAATATCTTGTCTTGTGGTAGACTGGAGCTTGAATTTCAGAACGAACTGCGAAAACAAGGGTAAGAATTGAATATCTCTACAAATGAAAACGTTGTGGTCGAGAACTATACAAAAATAATGATAACCCTTCTATCTATATCCTTGTTTAATCCAATCTAAGCTTTCCCTTTTCCACTAGGTTTCTGGATCACCTCTAGTTCGTCATCGTTGGTAAGAATTGAATATCTCTACAAATGAAAACGTTGTGGTCGAGAACTATACAAAAATAATGATAACCATTCTATCTACATCCTTGTTTAATCCAATCTAAGCTTTCCCTTTTCCACTAGGTTTCTGGATCACCTCTAGTTCGTCATCGTTGGTAATAATGATGATGTCAGCACCGCGCGTGGATGGGGAGAGTACAACCTCCTAAAGTTTGGCTCTCTTCTCTGGATATACATATTTTGCCGGTGACTTCAAACAGAGAATACCGTCGTATAAGAATTAAGTAGCACAAAAACTTAAATAGAATGGATTGGATGAAACTTTGACTAACATGATGCTTTGACGATGAAGGATTCAATCGGGATGTAGATTTCACGGTCTTACCCATGTTGCTAGGTTTCCAAAACGTGGAGGATTTCTGTGCTCCGGTAAGTGATATGTAGGCCTTTCTCTAAGATTGATCTCCTGCACGCAAAATGACACAAAGGAAGGATATCATCTTCTAGTTCACTCAACACCTAGAATCCCGGGTGGCGCAATCATCCAAACTTTGCTTGGTCTTCCCCTACCAATCCAAGACCTCCCGGATTCCAAGGTCCAACGGGAAAATATCAACCTCGACCAACTTTCATCCAGCAAAGGCCTCAATTCCAAAACTTGAACTTCCAACAACCGTACCAAGCACAAGGTGGTCAAGGGAACAACAACAAGTCGACAAGTTCTCTAAACTTGAAGACCTTGTGACCACCTTTGTGAGTACAAGTTCTCAAAAGTTCGAGAAGATTGAGCAATTCATGGATGTGGCAACCTCCAAGTTTACCTCGGTTGAGTCGGGACTCCGAAGTCATCTAGAAAGTCTATAGAACTTAGAAGTGCAAATCGGCAATCTTGTTGGGATCCTCACCGTGAGACCAAAGGGAACCCTACCCTCTCAAACCATTACAAACCCCAAGGATCATGCTGGGCTGTATGCAATTCATTTGAGAAGTGGGAAGGTGACTCCATAGGTAGTTGCCAAGGAAGTGGATGAGAAGGAAAACCCTCTACCCGAGGGCGGAGAAGAATAAACCTTGGGAGAAAAGAGTGGAGTGGCGAAGAAGGCATCGCCAACACCACCACCTGTGACTGAGTACACGCCACCCCTACCTTTTCCCACTAGGGTGCACAAGGAAAGATTGGAAGCGGAATGTGGAGGTTTCATGTAGAGGCTCCAAAAGCTCCACCTCAACATTCCCTTCCTTGAAGCAACGGCCCACATGCCAAGGTATTCATAATAACTCAAGGGGATTCTCTCCAAGAAGCTGAAGTTAGAAGAGCTCGCCAATGATACCATAGGCGAGGAGTGCTCAGCCTTCATCCTCAACAGGTTGCCTAAGAAGGAACCTGATCCAGGTAGTATCACCATACCTCTTTGCATCGGTACTCATCACATAGAAAATTCCTTGGAGGACTTAGGGGCGAGCATGAATGTGATGCCATTTAAGCATTTCAATATGCTAGACATAGGTGAACTAAAGACTATGAGGCTTAGTGTCGCATTGGCCAATTGCTATGTCATTAGTCCTAAGGGCATAGTGGAGGACGTGTGACTCGCTCGAAACTACACTACAATTAAAACCCAATTAGAGCCCAGTTTTTAAACTCTAATCGGGTGTAGTATAGGGCAAGTATCTCTATATCGACCCGGTCCGGTCCGTCTACTCCTACTTCGGTTGTTGAAATCATTATCTAGCGATAAAACTTTGGTTTAAAATTTTGGCAATTGAAATGAAAGAAAGCGAAAGTAATTTGGTTTGAAAATTCTTTTGTGGGAAATTTACTTGGGTTTCGATTCCCCCCTAACCGCTAACATGCTACGTGGGTTGGAACGATTGCATTGGGCAAGTTAATCGTGAACCGCACAGGAAAGCGTATGTGGTTGGAGACCACAGTCTCGATTGCTAAACCGAGGTAAGGATGAAAGGTCGTGTCACTCAACCCTCTCGGTTTAGACAGTCGGTAATCGACTTACTTCCTCACTCAACTCTAGGTCGGACGGTTTAACCACGATTAATCGACTTGTTCAATTCAATATTGAGGATTGCCCTAACTCAACCTAGTTTAGGTGGATTGGAAAGCAGAAGGAAAACCAACTCGATTGAGTCTCCCTTAAAAAGGGAGATTTTCCTCTCTAAACTAGGCTAAGTTGGCAAATTAGATTACTAGCTCCTAAATGCACAAACTTAGGGGTGCTAAGCACAATTATGCACAATCCCTAGGATGCTAAGCACAAATAATGCACAACCGCTAAGTTGCTAAGCACAAGCAATCAAAATCATGGTGAAAAATATCTCAAACATTAAATTGAACAATACCCAATATCAATCATCCACACCACATACAAGAAAACTACATAGTAGGGTGTAGGGTTTCACTACACCCAAGTGAAAGGAGGAGTACTCCATGGAAGAAGTGGGAAGAACAAAGGAGAAAAAGGTGGAAACCATCTTTTGGGGATGCCTCCTCTCTTCTTCAACCTTGAGATGGGATTTCCTTGGGGAAATCTTCCCAAAGCCTCCTTTGAAGCCAAGCCCTAACCTCTTCTTCTCTTTTGGTTCTGTTTCTCTCACTAAAATGCAGAAGAAGTGTTTCTCTCACAAAAGAGGCTCTCCCCTTTCTCTTTCCTTGCAGGTCATCTTTTAAACATGAGAAGAGTTGAGTTCACGGCCTGAGATCACGGTTTTGAACCATCAAACACGTCCGTGAACTCACGCCTTGTGCCTAAACGCTCAGCATCGATCACGGCAGTTTACGGGCAACTGCTTGTGTTCAGGTCTTAGTGACCGTGAACTCGCCTTGCGTCAGTAACCTTCAACTTGGCTCTGGACGCCTTGCTTCACGGTCAACTCCACTTCTTCACAGGCTTGCACGACCGTGAACTCCTGCCTTTAGCCATGAACTTGTGTTTTTTCACCTCTTCTCCCGGTTTTCGATCCTTTTCGCCAATCCTTCGGCCCCGAGGCTGGTTCCACCTATTAAATCCTAAAAAGCACTCAAACACGAAGAACCTCGCGTAAAACCAACCTCTACTGAGCGAATTTGGAACAAACATCTAAGCAAACTGGGCGCAAAATATGTTCAAATAGGCCCGAATCACTCCCCCACACTTAGACGTTTGCTTGTCCTCAAGCAAACCATTTCACGCACACGGTAATATTTCAACCTACACAAATGCTTTGGGGACAACTCAAAGGACACGAAGCGGGAATTCTCAATGTTCATTGACAATCAACACACGTACCGTTGCAAGAAATATCGACATTCATAGCCACCAAAACGGGCAAACAAAAAGTTCTCAACTTATTCATGGATAAATGCAAGTCTCAACAAAACCAATTATCGACCACAACCAACCATCCATGGAAACAAGTCTGAGGAAGAAATGGAAAGGCAACAAAGGTCCTCACCGGGGTATGATATGACATGCAAAGCAAAAATGAAACGCTCACTCTCAAGACCAGTGGGGCCAGGACCTTTTTGGTTCAAAAGATGTGCACAATCGTAACCTCTCGGCCCTCTCTTAGACACAGGTTCAGATGATTGGCGATTGGCTTGGACATGGGGAAAAGGATTTTTGGGTGGTGGCAATCATGACGTGAGGTTCTACCTCTTTAACCTAAACCCGAAGGGTCTATGGTTTAGACTAAAACCCCTTCTCTTCAATCAAAGGCCACTAGCATCGACCAAAACCCTTATCTCTCCCTTCCAACTATCACCGATCATGAACTACCTAGAAGCACTCTTCCTCGGTCAACTCTTGCTAGTTCTTTAAGGTTTGGTAGTGAAGGAGTTCTAAACAATGTGGGGGTTTCGATGGCTTGGGTGCCAAGAAACCCCTTCCTAGAGCATGTACTTGGGTATTTCGTGGCACTCTCTACTTTATTTACCCCATTTTATTACCTCTTTTTCGTTTCTCTTTTTTTTCTTTCTCGTTTTGAGGGGGGTATTAGAGAGTAAAAACACTTGCCACCTAAACATTTATCGACCAATGCTATCCTTTTTAGGAACTAACTCTAACACTACACTCCATTTTGCACTCCTAGCAAGAACCACACATGAACATCTTATGTAGAACATCTATGGAAACTCAAAGGTAAGAGTTCCGGGACACACGAGCGACTCATGTTTGGACACGAAGAAAGGATTTCGGGGTCGTTCTACTAACACCTTTAAGCTCACACGAACAAAGCTCCTAAACTGAGAACGACCCACGGAATCACACTACTCAAAGAGGTTGACTAAGGGATGATGCATCTCGAGACAATCAACTTTTGGGGCGTGAACTAATCCTATGCCTCCATCATACTTGCTAGTGATAACTTGTGATGCTACACACCGTGGTAAGAGGGAACTATCACACCGAAAGAAAAGAATGGCACAAAGCTCATAGGCTACCTAGTTACCCAACCGTCTATTCCAATTCATAAACACGCAGCATGGCAATTGTAAACAACAAGTGATCATGTCAAGATCTTCATTCATTTATGCACACTTTGAGAACTAAACTCTTGCCCTATCCTAATGAACTTCTCTGTCATCATCAGAGGATATACTCAATCACATGCACAGTTCAACATTAATGCCACAAACACGAGAATTTCCCACCATCCGGTCACTTTGAACATGAAAACTTTGCTTGGAGCCCTCAAATTTTTGAAATTTGGGCATACAAAAGGCTCCAAGCAACATCTCTCACTCACACAAGCACACTAGTAGACTACCCCCCCCCCCCCCCACACTTAAACTCGGCATTGCCCTCAATGGCGTAAGAAAGGGGTAGAATGATGTTACTGCTTGGGCTTGGTGAGTGAATGTAGGAATCGAACCGGGGTAGGATAATTGAAGCTTCAAGGAGAGACAACAAAAAACACACACAAGAAGAATATGACTCGCTCGAGGCAAGGTTATTACAAGCACAATACATAGTAGTAGTAGTTCATGTCACACACACACACACAAATAACAAAAACAACAATAAAACAAGTTTAGGGTTACAAGTAGAGGAGTGGTGCGAATGGAATCCGCTCTGCCACATGTCTCCCTCATCGGCTACCTCTCTCTGGTGGATGGTCCCTCTCCAGACTTGGGTAGGATACCTTGGCGTTGAGCCATGCGCTCGAGGATGTCGGACTATAGCTTGAGGCGAGATGAGAATCCCAAGAAGCTCATCTCAAGGCGATCAACCCTCTCGACGAGGGGATTGCCTGCTCCTGGTGGTGGTGGCTGCTGTGCAGAGCGCGGGAGCGCTGGACGCCGGCGCGGCCGGGTGCACAAGCAAGTGGCTGCTCTGCTGCTCGCGGGACCTCGGGGTCTGGCACCACTAGAGCTGGTGCTACTGTAGCTCGGACGGAGGGTGAGAGTCTATCAAGGTACTCCACTCCTCTCTCGCCTTGGAGTACCAGCTTCTGATTGTATAATGTCTCCCCTGGGAAGGGCTCCATCCTTCCTATGCTGGTGCAGCGGGCCAGATTCACCTAGAAGTGCCGGGCTATGCTCGTGATGATGCCCCTCATATACATCGTGTCCACTCTGTTCCGCCCTAGACACCGGGTGAAAGAGGTGGCAATCAACGATCCCAGATGGATCAGCTCAGCTGTACTCCTCACCGAGTGGAGGGCAATGAGCCCTCTGTTCGTCATCAAGTGGCCTAAATAGAGTCTGGGGACGACGGATCTGGTGAGCAGAGTATGAAGGATCCTCCACTGGGTCTTTAGCTTGATCATCATGTGAGCAGTGTCGAGCCCGATGGCCTGAGCGAAGCCATCATAGGTCAGCAATCGCGCCTGACCGTCCAACATGAACTCCACCCTGGGCAAACTCTTCTAGCTTGCCAGGACGATGTGGGAGAAGGTGGAATAGAACTCCACACACAGCTCGTGAAAAATCTCCTCGTCCATGGTCAGGAGTTGGTGCCACTGGATGGGAGAGCACCCCAGTCATGGCGGCTCGACACTTGAACAAATTAAACATGTCTTGGTCTAGCCGCAAGTGAGGACCGATCGGGCTCTCACTCTGGTAGGCGAACTTGTCGCCAAACTCCGCGTGGTGCACCAGGTAACCGATGAACTCATTCTCCAAGTTAAACATCCTGCACACAGAACAAACACACACCATACGTGGAAACATGCGTCATAAACCGCTCATTGGGAGGAAAAGAGATCCCCCCACACTTGTTTTTCCACAATGGCTAAAACATTTAAGCTCAAACCACCATGGTATGGTTGTGGGTATTTCACGGTTCAAGCACACAAAAATTGGAACCACAACCCCTACCACAATGGCTACCATCCACCAATCAAAAACAAACTTCACTTGCATTCATAACATATCACTTGGTGGGCAAATTCTAAAAATAATCATAATTCGGTTCACACATGTCCACCAAGGCTCACTAAGCTCATGCAATAATCAATCCATCAATCACACGACCTAATTCACCTAAGTCCTCGCACTAACTAGATTCAATCATGCCAAACACAGAAATTCAACCTCACTTCACTACCTAATCCAATTCTCCACAATTCACAAAGGAAAAGGTGAAAAAAAAACCTGGAGACTCAAGTAGGACGATGAAGGAAGTGAGGTGCGGGCAAGGACGGTGAAAAAC